TCCTTTTCAAAGTTTCTAGGGATCCAGACATAACAACATCCTCAGGCAAAGCATTCCAAGCTGAAACCACCCTGTTGGAAAAGAAGAACTTCCGTGTGTCTAGCCGGGCACCAATCACAGGTGATGACACATGGATGACCTCCCAGACTAGTCGTAGTCGTCAACTCGAAGAAGTCTCCTGACACGAGACAGCAGTCCTGATTGCGCAGGATTCGGAAAGCTGGTATAAGTTCCCCACGCATTTCGTAGGGTAGTGACTCCTGTCCAGTTACAAGTTTGGTTACCAACCGTTGTATGGTGAGTACCGACATGACACAAGAATGCACAGCAGCCATCCTTTGGAAGGAAACGGAATGCGGAGAGAGGGGAGCGAGAGTCGAAGGCTGCCCCGTGCCAGATAGTGTATCATATGGGGAGGACTCGTTTCACGTGCTCATATCAGTGTGCTAGGCAAACCGCAAGGGCTAGCTCCATGTAGCCATGATTTAAGTAACTTAATGACAGCCAACTTTTGTTGTCTACCGACTCAAACAGGGTTTTCTTCTGCGAAGTGTCCCACATGTCAGTTTGTTCATTTTTATTCCTTTCCCCGCTTTATCTGGCATGTCCTTCTACCAATTAATGTTTCATCTATGGGGAATTCTACACCAAGTCCTCCTAACTGCCATGATTCCTTTAAAAACGCTTTCGAACATACATTATGGCGTAAGCTGTACTATGTAACTGCTGCACTGCGGTTTATTCCATTTGAAGATTCACATTGCTTTACTCGTGCTCGTGATATGGAAGCTTGGCAACCTTTCATTATCTTACGGAACGTTGGCCAATTACTCTCCAATACGAATCTCGTTTGTAGTGCCCTTTGCGTCTGACAGTTCGACCGTCGATTTCGATGGTGTCCACTGCGTGCTACACACCAAGGTGCAGCAGGCACGGTGACTTGCGCGTGAATTAGTTTATCGTGATAGCCGACTTGCGCAGCATCTACCGCACCCTTTCCTTCCCACTCCCCACCTGGACCTAGTGTCAAGGCAGAGTCAAGAAGACCGGAGGCGTGGGAGGACGCAGCCCTTTTCGCCTAAACGACCACACATGAGCATATGCCCGGGGAGAAGATTGGATATGTAAGCCAGCTGAAAATAGGAAACACATAGGCTCCTATAATACGGGAAGGATATTAATACTACTTCTATCACTAAGGCAGATGGATATGGTAATTAACGAGATCTGCGGAGATCATTGAGAAAACCACTATTTCTGTCATATGTTTGTTTTAGTACTCCAGCAAGGTACCAAAACGGACTGCACAAGTTTAAGTATGTGTATTAGGGGGGAAAACAGGTAGTCCTAGGCAGCAATCAAGAACAAACGCAAAGATTGAGAACAACCAACGTTCTAACTTACTAAGCACTGAGGCCCTAAGGGTCAGTTGAATAATTACATCTGCAAAAAATTTGATAATTAAGTGAGAGTAGTAGTCATTTGATGGACTGGGGATTGATTCCTTAGGAAATCATGCCTGGATAATCAGCTTACTGTGTCGTATTTGGTGGATTCCAAACGTCGCAGTAAGCTGGGTGGGTAACTTAACCCAAATTCGATTAAACTCACAGATCACCGTGGGACCCAGCAGCTCAGGTGTCTGTTCTGGATTTGGATCCCACCGAGGGCGCCGAGTACTTCAAAATTTGGTCAAGTTTATTACTCATATTTTCCAAAAATACTACTTAATCCGGAGTTAGTGGTTAAAGAATACCGGTTTTGTTAGGGTTGTATGTGGCAGGCAAACTTCACTCTAACTCCAAACCCAGCCCTTTGTCTAATCCTAATCTTTAATGCCATCCTAACCTTAACCATGCACAGTTACGTTAAATCATATCCAGAAACGTGGCCCATGTGTAACATGACTACCCAAACCATGTATGCAAACATGTACAAATACCAATAACTGCGGTTTACGTATTTGACCGTCGTCTATCCGGCTGTGTGCTATCGCAGTACCTGATGGTTTGTTCCAAAAGACGAAGATGCAATCCCTGGATCAATAACTTTATTGACCTGACGTTTCCGACTCCCCCTCGAACGCATAATTAGAGACAGTCACAGATAAGGGTAATGGTGACACAAGTAGTGCAGTATTTATAGTACACGACTGCCGTCGAACCATATGCGTACCATAATTAACAGCTCTCGCAATCACCGCAAGGGATCGTAGTGAGAAATAGACGCTGAGAGAGACGACCACACACGCTCTTCCCTCTCCCACTGTCCCAGTAGATCAGTTATCCGATGCGATCATTGGACGCAGTGGTTGACAGTTCTAAACGGACCGTTTACGCGTGCCGCACACGACCTGGCTACCTGAACAGCAGCGGTTCCTGGGACAGAAGGGATCTCACCTGCGTGAGTGCCACAGAGGCCACATCAGCAATGACATCTTGAGCCTGACCCAGAACTCAGCATGTAGCAGCTCCAAGCAAAAGCATTGGAGGTCGGAGTTGTATCGTCAGTTAGCAACCTGCCAGCTGACGGCGCGTAGAGCGTCAGGATGGATTCAGGCGGGCCAGACTCATAATAATTAAGTGTCGTGGAGATCGGGTTCCCACTGTCGTTCTGACTCTCCTCCCCCATAGGTGAACCTGTCGATCGTTCAAGTCGGTCAATATACTAAGGCTATGATTGGACGGATTGACTGACAGGACTGAAACCACCTGCCTGCTAATGTCAAATGCCATTTGGCATCACGCACAGCACCAAGTTTTTACACGAAGGGGATGGGCTGGTCACATCTTACTTGTATTGGTGTGCTATATAGGCTACACGGAGTAGGAGCCGAAGAAAATGCTTCCCACTTTCGTGGGAGGTGCCGTATTCGTGCCTGTGGTGGATAATGCGTGATGGGCTCATGTGGGATCTATGGACTGTTGGTAATGGAGCTTATTCTGTTGTAGTTTAATGCAGGTTTACATGGAAATGCATGCGACCGTGTGGTAGCTGAATAACGTGGTCACTGCGGGCAGCTGAGGCGAGAGCGGTGAGTGGGCATGTGTGTATTGGTGCACCTGGCACTGGTTCATGGGTCGCAGTGCGATCAGATCGCAAATGACCGACCAGGCCGCGGCGTAATGTGAAGGTGCGATCGATATGATAACAGGTTGGGATTGAGTCCGCATTTCTGGTGGAGGGAACAGTGATGGGGAGGGTGGTGGTCGACGTGGCGTCAGAAATTCCCTCACTAGTGGTGGGGGCGGGACGAGCGACAGTCATCGCCGCCGTCGTCAAGAGGTTGTAGCAAGAGTACTGGTGGTGGTGGTGGTGGTGGTGGTGGTGGTGGTGGTGGTGGTGGTGGACGGCGGAGGCGGTGAAACACCAGGAGTATGATCGCCTGCAGTAACGGTGGCCGCCGCCATGTTGGTTAGGGCAGGAGTGGCGATGGAGTCGTGAGTCGAAGACAATCACCTGCTGTGAAATAACCACGTACTGCCCATTCCACAAACAAGTAGTGCTACAAGTGGTATGAAATGTATGTACTAAAGGCATTATACCGTACTCCCGACACAGTACTAGCTAAAAGCCCAGACACGTGTTTCGCTGACATTCTGCCGCCGCGTGATTCAGCTGCGAAGGGTTCGGCTCCTCAGTGGGTCCCCCAGCGTCCTCTATGCGGTTTCTGGCATATGAACTCCTTACTTCTTATTTACACTTAATTAGGTTAATATGCAACGAATTCCGCAAACTTGGATTTCTTACATTTAATCGCTTCATCATTTGCTTTAGCAGACGTGCATTTTGTTCACCTAGAAAGTAAGTGTGGCCACTGCAGACGATCTCAGTGTGTTTGGCATTCCGCTAATTTCCAAACACTCCTTATTTCTGTTATATCCCTCAAGAAAATGACGCCATTTCTGTGAGGAATGACAGTTCGACCATCGGTTTCGATGATGTCCACCGTGTGACCCACAGTTGCAGCGGCAATGGGAGCAAGGACGGTGACTTACGCAGGGGTTTATAGTGCCGGTAGACTTGCGTAGCATCTACCTACACTCTCTCCTCCTCCCTCGCCCGAGCCCGATGTCAAGACAGAGTCAAGAAGACCGGAGAGGAGAGGGGCCGCAGATGGATGGCTCGGACGGATCCTCACCTTGGCGTTCCACCACACCCCCTGGTCTACACAACAAATAACCAGGATTTCAACCAATCAAAACAGAGATTTGGAGGCTGGCACGGCCGAAGCCGCACCTGGGCATGCCGCCAATGCCTGGCTCGGATCCCACACTGTGATGGGAGTGCCATAAATGCCACATTAAAAAGGAGCCATTGCAGCCTGACTCTCAGACCGCCTCCAGTCAAGGAGGAGGTCCAAGTTACCCCGTCAGTTGGCAACCTTCCAAGCCACGGCTTTTAGCGCACCGTGATAGCTTCAAGCGCGTCAGATTGATTATAGTGAGGAAAATGTGCTGAGTCGTCGACCTCACTCTCCCTTCCCACTCCCACACCCCATTCGCTGTCCGAGCCGGTCAGCAGACTGGAGTGGGGAATGGGCGCGGTGGCTGTCATGGTCGACTGACCATGACTGCGCGCGCCACGGCACGACCTGGCCCCCCATACACACAACACCAGGATTTCATACAACGGGGGTTGAACGGCGTGTCTCTCACTTGCATGAGAGGGCCGTGGAAGGTGCTGTTTCAGCCCGTTCCCCGCCCACCAGTCCACCACTACACACAACACACACACAACTCGACGAACTGCGTGAACCGAGAGCGGGCGTCAATCAGCAACCTTCCTATCCACGACGCTTGACGTGTCGGGATAGTCTCGGACTCAAGTCACCCGTGCAGCTGAAGCCGCATGGGGACCGAGTCGAGATGCGGACTTCCCACTTGCGTGGGCGGTGGCAGTTGGGTGCACGAGGTGTGTGAGTGTTGATTTCTGGTGGGGTGATGGTGGTGGTGGAGGAGGTAGGGAGTGAGTGAATGTGTGGTGTGGCCGGCGGTTGTCTACCGCAGGTCGTCGTGGATGCGCATGTGGCCGATGCGATGCCTAAAAGTGCGAGGGCAGTGTGGGCAGTTGAGACGAGCTTGGTGGGTGTAGGTTGGTGCTCCAGGCACTGGTTCGCCAGTCTCTGTGCGATGGATTCGCAAGTGACCGACCAGGCCGATGTGTGAGGTGAAGGTACGGTCGCAGTGAGGGCAGGTGTAGTCCTGATCCTCATCAGCAGTATCGGGAGAGGTGGGAGAGGTGGTGTCGGTTGTTGTGTTGGGGTTGGTGATGTGTGAGACGGCAGTCTGAACGGCCGCCGCTGGGGCAGTGTGGGAGGAGGAGGAGGAGGAGGAAAAGGAGGAGGAGGAGGAGGAGGAGGAGGAGGAGGACGACGACGACGACGACGACGACGAGGAGGACGAGGAGGACGAGGGCGAGGAGGATGGAAGTGGTGGTTTAGAAGAGTTATCAGAGTTAGTTGGCGGCAGAGAGGACGAGGAAGAGGCGGGCGGGGGGACGGTGGCTGGAGCAGTTCGAGAGGTACAGTTGATCCGAAGATGTCCAACAAGTCCGATTCGTGCCCGGAGTGTCCGTTGACAACGAGAACACGTTGGAAGCGGTTGTGCGGCGGCGTTGCTTACTGGGCGAAGTTGTGATTTGCGGGCTTCACGTTTCGCTTTGGCGGCAGCGATGCGGTTGGCTCCGTAGATCGCAGCGCCTGTCTTCACTGTCCTCCTCCAGGTCGGTCGATCGAGTGCGAGCTCCGCCCTGTTGGTGGGGTTGATTTGCAGGCATTTCAGGGAGGACTTCAGGGTATCCTTGTAACGGCGAATCTGGCCTCCCTGACGGCGAGACCCCGTCGCGACGTCTCCGTAGAAGAGTCGTTTGGGTAGTCACTCGTCGTCCATGCGCACCAGGTGGCCGCTCCAGCGCAGCTGAATTTGCCTCATTATGGCGTAGATGCTGAGGATTCCCGTCCGTTCCAGCACATCAGTGTCGGGGATTCGATCCTGCCAGTTCAGCCTCAGGATGCGACGAAGACAACTGAGGTGCAAGTGATTCAGACCACGTGCCTGCTTTGCGTACACCGTCCAAGTCTCCGCTCCATACAGTAGTGTCGGCAGGATGACGGCCTGTACATCTTCAGCTTCGTGCTCAGCTGAAGACCGTGGCGATTCCAAACTGTGCTTTGGAGGCGACCGAAGGCTTGACTGGCTTTCGAGATCCTGTTGGCGACTTCGTCGTCGATCTTGGTGTTGCGGGAGAGAGAACTGCCCAGGTACGGGAAGTTCTCCACCACCTGCAGTTGAGTCCCATTTACGTTGATTTGCGCCGCGTTGTCGGCTGTGACTGAGTTGGGTGGCGGTTGATGCATCACCACGGTCTTCTGCGTGTTAATGACCAGACCGAAGTTCTCGCAGGCGGCGGAGAACAGGTCCATGCTCCGTTGCATCTCCTCTTCCGAGGTGGTGTTCAGGGCGCAGTCGTCGGCGAAGAGGAGTTCGTGAACGGTGGTTATGGATACGCGCGATTGGAAGTGCATCCGCCGTTGATTCAGGAGGTGACCGTCCGTCCTGTAGGCGATGCGGATCCCGGGGCGTTCGTCGCGGTAGGCGTCCATCAGCATGGCAGAGAACATAAGACTGAAAAGGGTGGGCGCCAGCACGCATCCCTGTTTCACTCCGTTGGTCACTGCGAATGCCTCTGAGACAGCTCCGTTGTCCGTGACTCGAGCCATCATACCGTCGTGCAGCTGACGCACCATCTGAGTGAATCGCTCCGGACAGCCGAATTTCTGCATGATCTTCCACAGTCCTTCACGATTCACCGTGTCGAAGGCTTTCGTCAGGTCCACGAAGGTAGAGTACAGGTGGGTCCGCATCTCCTGACACTTCTCCTGAAGTTGACGGGCGGCAAAGATCAGCAGCGATTGCGTCCGATCCGGGTGCTTTCCGGCTGGAGAGCTGCTGCACGGCCCTGATGGTTTCCTGGAGAGATGGCGGGAGGTCGAGGTCCGCGTTTGTCTCCACTTGCGGCAAACGCTCGATGGCCGCGTCGGAGATGGCGGAAGGGCGGTTGAGGACGCCTCGGAAATGCTCGGCCCATCGCTGAAGTATTTGCGTCTTCTCAGTCAGGACAGTGCTGCCGTCGGCGCTGAGGAGAGGAGCAGTGCCCTTCGTCGGCGGACCGTAGACAGTTTTGATCGCAGAGAAGAAGTTCTTCCATTCGTTGCGGTCCGCGTACCCTTGGATCTCCTCAGCTTTGCGAGCAGTCCAGGCGTCCTGCATCTCGCGCAGTCGTTGCAGAAGCTGTCGGCGACTGCGGTAGAAGTCAACTTTGTTCTCTTCAGTGGGGTGATCTACGTAGGCTTTATGTAGGCGGTTCTTCTCAGCAAGCAGATTTCTGATGGCGGCGTCGTTGTCGTCGAACCAGTCCTGGTGTTGACGGGGAGCGCGACCGAGGACGGCGAGCGCCGTCGACTGGACCGTGTCTCGCAGTTGACACCAGCGGTTCTCCACGGAGGCGTTCTCGGCAGCGGCGGCATCGGCGATGGGAAGGTTGTCTAGCCTTTGAGCTAGCTCATTGCTGAAATGAAGATGGTGAGCGGGCAAAGACAACAAGGCAACATTCAGCTTACCTGGGGGTCGCTTACCTTGTGGTCTTCTGCGAGGCTGTAGGCGAATACGCATCTTCGAGATGACGAGGCGATAGTCGGTCCACCCGTCAGCACCCGCGATCGCCTTCGTCACTAGCACGTCCCGCCAAGGACGATCAACTTGTCCGCCTTCGACACAGTCGCCAAGAGGGCGTGCAGATCCTCGTAGAATTTGTCTCTTGCGGCGGCGTCGGGGCAGCTCATCGGCGGAGCGTAGGCGCTGATGATGGTGGCGAATTTGCCCCACCCCCGCCGGAGAGGCAGACGGAGGCTCATCAGGCGATCGTTGATTCCCTGCGGCAGACAGGGCAGTCGTCCCACGATGTTGTTCCGGATGGCGAAGGCGACACCCGTGTCTCGTCGCTCTGCCTTGGGTCGACCGCTCCAGAAGAAGGTGTAACCGGCACCCACCTCCTCCAGTTGGCCTTGTTCGGAGAATCGGGTCTCGCTGAGTGCGGGGATGTCCACCTTGTAGCGCGCCAGTTCTCGTGCCACTAGCACCGTCCTCCGTTTCGGTCGGCTGCTCCTTGGATTGTCTAAAAGGGAACGAACATTCCAGGCTGACAGAGTGAGCGGACTCACCCTGTCAGTCTGGTGACAACGAGTGGGGCGACGGGAAGGAGATGGAGAGGAAGGTGACGAAGGAGAAGAATAGGCAGAGGAAGAGGTAGAAGAGGTAGGATGAGGAGAATGAATATGGTTGTTGTTGTTGTTATTGGTATTGTTGTTGTTTCGATTTTGATTGTTTCGACCGTGTCGATGACATCTGCGGCCTTGGCTAGCCTGCAGACTGCGTCGTGCCCAGCATTTTTTGGGTCACCTTTTCTAGGCCCTTCCCCTCGTGGGGACAGGCAGTGCCGTCCCTGAATCGGGCTGCCCATGTGCCTGGTTGGCGCGACCGAATCCCACTATGGGGCCACGACTTTTATGTTCGTAGTGGAGAACGACCGCATATGCCGTGAGTGCGCGGTCTCCGTTGGCGAGGGTGGGCGCGTCTCAGCGAAGGCGATGCAGACACCAGTCCCGGCAGCAGTTATCCAACGGCGTACCAGGCAGAGCCTCGTCTCGACGATGCCGGCGCAATGTTTCATCCGACCATCCGTCCAACGGAGTCCGCTGTACATTGTGCACGCGGCACAAGCGCACAGCGCTCTCACCTGGTTTAGCCCGTCGGTCGAGACGGTTGCCCGGAGTGTGGCCGCTGCGCAGAGCCCAGCTACGTGGAGCCACAGGTGAGAGTTGGGTGCCAGCAAATGGACGCTAGGCGTAGTCTCACCTGCAAGCAAGTGAGCGACCACTACGACCATCACGTGAACCCACCGCTGGACACCCCTACACCCCACACACACACACACGACAGTTCGACCATCGATTTCGATGATGTCCACCGTGTGCCCCACAGCTGCCGCAGAGGTGGGAGCAGGGACGGTGACTTGCGCAGGGGTTTATAGTGCCAGTAGACTTGCGTAGCATCTACCTACACTCTCTCCTCCTCCCCCGCCTGAGCCCGGTGTCAAGATCAAGTCAAGAAGACCAGAGACGGGGGAGGCCGCAGGTGGATGGCTCGGACGGATCCTCGCCTTGGCGCTCCACTCCGCACCCCCTGGTCCACACACAAATGACCAGGATTTTAACCACAAAACTATGGGGTGGTGGCAGTGGTCCAGTTGTGCGACGAATGCCGACAACAGGGTCCGCCAGCGCACCCCGGAAGTGTTGGCATTTGTTATTGCGCACAGATAATGCCTGCCAGAGTCCGATGTGGCCCCCGTGTTGGTCCAGCGCATCTAACACGTGGCCCGTTTGGAGGGCGCTCACACACACACACACGCCTCACATGCCTGAGATTGCCGGTGTTGGTGAATGTGTCCGGTTCAACGTCTTTCCAGCATTTGAAATCTGTCGATGGCGTTACGCACGCCATTTTCCGTAGAGCATTCCAGGCTCGCAATTTATTGGAAAACTACTGACAATGGGATGTATGCATTAGTGTTGCGTGCAACACGTCCCATCCACATCGAATCCGTTCACTGATTGCAATCATACTAGCCGCCTGCTCTACTTCATCTCCAACAGATATCTTCCGTTGACTACGTAAGGAAAATTCCAAATGCGAATTTCACAGCAGGAATCTACAGCGAGACGTTAATAATGATTGGGGATATGTACGTAAGAAATCGCGAAAAAAGTTCCTTATCAACCGGGAATGTCCTCACCAAACCGATCTGATTCTGTTTCGTTAGGTGTGGATTTTTGCCGTGAACAAAAAAGCGTTCGAGGCCCTCGATCGAACACTGCAGGATTTGCGCGGAATCAGGCGACCATTTGGAGACATTACTGTTACTGCTTGCAGGAGACTTCAAGCAAACACTGCCTGTAATTCCTCCATCGGCAACGACGGACGAAATAAATGCCTGCCTGAAATACTCTTCTTTGCGACGCCAAATCCAGACGGTAAAATTAACTACAAATATGCGTGTCCGGCTGCGGAACCCCCGATCAGCTGAGATATTCCAACACTAATTGCTGGCAATTTGGTGTGCAGCGGTGCCGGCTGATCCGACTTCGGGAAGGATTTCCCTACGTCCTAGCTTCGGCAAATTACTGTCCTCAAAACAGGAATTGGTTGAAAAGGTGTTTCACACTATTCCGACCACTTTCAAAAATCAGCACCGATTGCGGCCAAGAACAAACACGTGTACCATTCTAACCATATTATTCTGTCTAAGGTTCAACGCGAGGCAGTCACATACACGTCCGTCGACACTGTTGTGGAAACAGACGAGGCAGGTTGATTATCCAACAGAAATTTCGAATTTACCTGGGTCACAGTAACACGTGGCCGGGCAAACTAGTTCCATATAAACCACCTGACCAGGATTGAGGCAACACCACAACGGGTCAGAAAGAGAAGAATGGCTGGGCAACAACGCACAAGTCCAGTAAATATGTGCTTCTACCAGCAGGCAACCGGGGCCGGAGAACCTCCAGTGTACACTAGGCTGCGAAGGCCATAGTATGCTGAATCATGGCATTGAAGACGCATACAATCCCTGAGGTCCTTTTGGCAGACCAGGATGCTTATAACGCAGACAACTTCAAATGGACTGAGTACCATACTAAACCGCTTTCTGGGAAGGATCTGGGAGCAAGCCCTGGAATGGCCTGAATGTTTTCAAATAAAGGCAACGAAACTGGAATGACTATTGTTGGCGAAAGTGCTTCTACCAGCAGGGAAACGGGAGCCAGAGAACAGCCTGCGTACACCAGTATGCGAAGGTCATAGCATGCTGAATCATAGCATAGTAGACGCATACAATCCTCACAAAGGTCTCACAAGGGCGAGACGCAGCACTGCATTGGCCTGGACCGTCACCCTTCAAAGGTCGTGTAACCAGGCAGACGTCGACTGAGAGGCACCACTCATAAAATACACACCCGACGACGACGACGACAGTTCGACCATCGATTTCGATGATGTCCACCGTGTGCCCCACAGACTGCATTGTGGAGCAAAGACGGTGACTTGCGCGGGGGTTTATAGTGCCAGTAGACTTGCGTAGCATCTACCTACACTCTCTCCTCCTCCCCCGCCTGAGCCCGGTGTCAAGATCAAGTCAAGAAGACCAGAGACGGGGGAGGCCGCAGGTGGATGTCTCGGACGGATCCTCGCCTTGGCGCTCCACTCCGCACCCCCTGGTCCACACACAAATGACCAGGATTTTCACCACAAAACAATGGGGTGTTGGCAGTGGTCCAGTTGTGCGACGAATGCCGACAACATGGTCCGCCAGTGCACCCCTCACATGTTGGCATTTGGTATAGCGCACAGATAATGCCTGCCAGAGTCCGATGTGGCCCGCGTGTTGGTCCAGCGCATCTAACACGTGACCCGTTTGGAGGGCAACACCCACACACTCACACACACACACACGCACCTCACCTGCCTGAGAGTGCGAAAGGTCACGTTAAGAAGGAGCTGTAGCAGCCTGACCCTCAGCCCTCCAGTCCGCCATTCCATACAAACACTAACACGAATGGGTAGACTGTGTGGATTGAGCTGAGGCGTCAGTCAGTAACCTTCCAGGCCTCGACCTTTGGCGCATCGTAAACGTCTCAGGCCCTGATCACACATGCAGCAGAGGAGCCACATAAAGAAGGCGTCGAAAAGCACACTTCCCACTTGCATACGAGGTGTCAACTGAGTGCTTGCATTGTGTAGCGGTGGGTGATGTTGATATGTGGTGCAGGTGCTGGTGGGGGGGGGGGTTGTAATGATGTGGTATAGTCAACAGTGGTCCACAGCAGGTTCTCGTGTACGCGCATGTTGCCTAATAGGCTCATGCGGTAAGTGAATGTGCGAGGACAGTGTGGACAGTGGAGGTAGATAGGGCGAGCGTAGGTTGGTTCTGAGGGCACTGGTTTACCAGTCCCCGTGCGGTTAATTCGCTGGTGACTGACCAGGCCGATGTCAGAGATGAATGTACGAGGATAGTGTGAGCAGATAGGTCGGGGGAGTCAGAGTCCGTGGAGATGGTGGTAGCGCGGCTGGTGGTGGGAGTGCTGGACGGTGAAGTGTTTATTGAACTAGGAATGTTGGGTGTGCAAGATATACTAAATATATTGACATTCTTGTTAATTCCACTTTCTTGGATAGGCCCATGCGCCCATGTGCTCGGACTGTGTGGAGATATGAGACGCGGGCAGCGAGTGTATGCGCGTGCTCCAAACACGGATCCGCAAGTAACCGACCAGGCCGATGTGTGTGGTGAATATGCAGCCACAATGAGGACAGGTTTGGACCGAGTCCACATCACCGATGTTGGCTGTGGTGAGATTCGGTTTTGACCGTCTGGATTGTTTTCATTGGTGACGAGGGCAGGAGCCATCGCAGCAGAGGATGAGGCGATGAAGGTGCTGGAAGACTGCAACGGGTGATCGAGAGCACTGTTAGGGTTGATTATTGACAAGGGGCGAGACAGGGGTCGTCCGGGTGCTACAGTTGTCTCGAAGATGTCCAATAAGACCGATTGGTGCTCGGAATGTTCGTGAATCCGTTCGCATGCTGGGAGCACTTGAGTGTTAGCGGTACCAGGTGCGGACAGTTGAGATTTTTGAGCTTCGCGCTTGACTTTGACGGCGGTTATGTGGGTGGCTTCGTAGATGGCTGCTCCTGTCTTCACTGCCCTCCTCCAGGCCGATCGGTCTCTGACGAGGTCATTCCAGTTTGGCGGGTTGATCTGCAGGTGCTTCATGGAAGTTTTCAGAGTATCCTTGTAGCGCTGAACTTTGCCCCCTTGTCGACGAGAATCCATGGTGACATCTCCATAGAAGTGTCGTTTGTCGTCTATCCCCACGAGGATGATGAGGACTCCTGTCCGTTACAGTACTTCCGTATCCGGGATTCAGTCCCGCCACCCCAACTTTACTACCCGGCGAAGACAGCTGAGTTGGAAATGGTTAAGTCTTCGCGCCTGCTTTTAGTACACCGTCCAGGTCTCCGCCCCGTACAGCAGTGTCAGCAAGACGACATTTTTGTACATCTTCAGTTTAACTCTGGGCTGGAGACCGTGACTGTCCCAATCGGTGTTCTGCAGGCGGTAGGAAGCTTGGCTAGCTTTGAAGATCCCATTGGGCACCTCATCGTTGAGTTTGGTGCTACAAGAGAGAATGCTGCCCCGGTAGGCGAGGGTACTCGCGGCTTTCATTCTGGTGTTCTCGACGTCGCTGTAGGTAGCGTTGGGTGGCGGTTGGTGCACTACCACTGTTTTTACCGTGTTGATGATTAGGCCAAAGCTGCCGCAGGCGGTGGCGAAGAAGTCCATACCGCTTTGCGTGTTCCCTTCTGTGGCTTCATTGAGAGCGCATTCGCCGATGAAGAGGAATTCTTTTGAGGTAGTTGTGGATACACGTGACCAGAAGTGAACACGCCGACGACTGAGAAAGTTGCGACGCAGTTCCCGGGACGTTCGTCACAGAAGGCGTCCATCGGCATCGCAGAGAACATGAGAATGAAGAGGGTAGGCGCAGAGACGCACCACTCCGCTGGTAACTACAAATGCCTCTGAGACGACTCCATTGTCCGCGACGCACGCCATCATGCCATCGTGAAGCTGATGAATCATCTGAGTGCTGGGTTGGAGACCATGATTGTCTCAGCCGGTGTTCTACATGTGGCAGGAGGTCTGACCGGCTTTGGAGATCCGAGTAGGTACCTCATCGTTGAGTTTCGTGCTGCAAAAGAGGATTCTGCCCCGGTAAGCGAGGGTGCCCAGCGGCTTGCACTTTGGCGTCGTTGACGTCGGTGTAGGCAGCGTTGGGTGGCGGTCGGTGCATAAGCACTGTTTTTGTCGAGTTGATAATTAGGCCAAAGCGGTCTCAGACGATGGCGAAGAGGTCCATAGCCCTTTGCCTGTTCCCTTCTCTGGCTGCATTGAGAGCGCATTTGTCGACGAAATGAATTTCCTTGGAGGTTGTTGTGGATACACATGACCAGAAATGCATCCACTGGCGACTAAGGAATTGGTCATCCATCCTCTAGGCGACGCAGTTCCCGGGACGTTCGTCACAGTAGGCGTCCATCAACATTGCAGAGAAAATGAGACTGAAGAGGGTAGGCGCAGCGACTCAGCACTCCGTTGGTAACTGCAAATGCCTCTGAGACGACTCCATTGTCCGCGACGCACGCCATCATACCTTCGTGAAGCTGATGGATCATCTGAGTGAATCGCTCGGAGCAGGATAACTTCTACATTATTTTCCACAGTCCTTCGCAATTCACCGTGTCAAAGGCTTTCGTCAGATCCACAAAGGTATAGTCGGATGGGTCCGCATCTCCTGACATTTCTCCCGCAGCTGGCGGGCAGCGGAAATAATGTCGGTGGTGCTGCAATGATGGCAAAAGCCACACAGGCTTTCCAGTAGGAGTCCCTATTCCAGATGACTACTGTTACTATTGATGAGAAGGCTGGCGAGGGTTTTTCCAGCGATTTTGAGCAGGGAGATGTTTCCGAAGTTGCCACACATTTGGCGGTTCCCTTTCCGCTTGTGGAGGTGGACTATTGTAGCGCCCTTGAGGCACTGAGCGACTACTCCTTGACATCGCATCTCCTAGAAAGGCACTGTCAGGTGATTCATGATTTGGTGGGCGCCGTGCTCGTAAATCTCTTTGGAGATCGCGTCTGATCCGGGCGCCTTCGTGCTCGCGAGTTGCTTCAACTTCCTGGCGGTTTCATGGAGAGAGAGCGGGAGGCCGAGTTCGGCGTTGGTCTCCACTTGAGACAATCGGTCGATGGCGGCGTCGGAGATGATGGAAGGACACTTGAGGACGCTTCTGCAGTGTCCGGCCCATTGCTTCAGAATTTGGGACTTTTCTATGAGTAGAGGAGCGGTTCCTTTTGCTGTTGGACCGCTGCAAAGAAGTTCTTCCATTCGTTGCGGTTCGCGTGCCCTTGGATCTCCTCGGCCTTGAAAGCCGTCCAGGCGTCTTCCATTTCCCGCAGTCGCTGTTGTACAAGGGGACGACATCGGTAGAACGATTCTTTGTTTTTGTATCGACATAGGCCCTGTGCAGGCGGTTCTTCTCGGCAAGCAGTTTGCTGATGACGGTGTCGTTGTCGTCAAACCAGTTCTAATGCTGGCGACGTGCTCGGCCAAGGGCGGTTGACTGGATTGTGTCCCCCAGATTACATCATCGGTTCTCTACGGAGGCGTTCTCTTCAGCGGCGGCGACTGAAAAGTTGGCTAGCCGTTGAGCTAGTTCATTGTCGAAATGGAGATGGTGAACAGGCACATTCAACAAAACAGCATTAATCTCACCTGTTTCTCGCATACCTTGAGGTCTTCTGCGAGGTTGTTAGCGGATCCTTGTCTTCGAGATGACGAGGTGACGGTCGGTCCATCCGCCGACACCAGGGATCGCCTTTGTCACCTGCACGTCTGGCTGGTTTCGCTTCTGGACGAGGACGTAGTCCAGCGGGTGCCAGTGTCGCGACCGAGGGTGCATTCAGGTCACCTTCTTCCGCGTCGGAAGTCAGAAGGTGTTGATCAGAATGAGGCGATCCTCTGCGCAGGTTCGTAGGGGGAGCAGGCCATTGTCACTGAAGCCGCCGAGGCCATGGGGACACAGCACTCCCCCAGGCTGCACGATCTGAGCTGACGCGGACGTTGAAGTCACCAAGAAAAATCAACTTATCCCCCTCCCGCTCAGACGCCAGAAAAGCGTTCAGGTACTCGTAGAATTTGTTCTTTGCCGCGTCAGGGCTGGTCATCGTGTGGGCGCATTCGCAGGCGGCGGCTCATCAGATGACCGTTGATGCCCTGCCGCAGACAGGGCAAGCGTCTGACGATGTCGCTACGGATGGCAAAGGCCACGCCGGCGTCGCGTCACTCTGCCTGTGAGCGGCCGCTCCAGAATAAGGTGTAGCCGGCACCTATCTCGCCTAGTTGGCCTCGGTAGGAGAACCGAGTTTCGTTGAGGGTGGTGACGTCCACCGTGGTACGCGCTAGTTCCCGAATGACTAGCTTTGTCCTTCCTTCCGGTCGGTTACTCCTCAGAGTGGCGTAAAGGGAACGAACATTTCTGGCTGCCAGATTGAGCGCACTCACCCTAGTTGCCTGTGGGGTGGGACGGCGTGGAGGGAGAAGAGAGGAAGTTTGGTTTCTTGTTTGGTTGTTTCGACCGTGGGGTTTTCGTCCGCGGGCCACGGTCAGCGCTCAGACGACGCGGTCCCAGCATTTGTTTTAGGCACCTTTTATAGGCCCCTCCGCTGCGAGAGGGTAAGCAGTGGCTTCCCTGAATAGGGCTGCTTAGTCGGCCCATGAGGCTGCTAAACTATGTTATGGGTCACGTATTGCTTTTATGAGCAAACGACCCGATAGGCCCAGGCCGCCTACGTGATTATATGTGACCCTCGTCGTAGGACACTTCGACCGTGGTGGAAGAGATAAATGTATGGAGTAGAGGGAGTAGGGAGTGAAGTGAGAGGAGAGGAGAGGAAGAGGGAAGAGGAAGGTAAGCATAGTTGCCATGCGCCGGATACTCTCACCCGGTTTAAACGGTCGGTCGAGGCGGTTACCGGGTTTTGGTCTCTAGGCAGGGCCTAACTTCAAAGGACCACACGAAAGTGTCGGATGCCGGTTAATGGACGTTAGGAGCAGCCTATGGCTGCAAACAAATGAAGTGACCTGTTACGCCCATCACGTAGACCCACAACTGGATACTCCTACACGCCATTTTTATGTATCGTAACCCCACACTGTCTTTCAGTTTCAGTTTATTTGAGGGAAACAAAGGTGTTGGACCTTTGAATTCCCTGTTTGCTACAAGGAGGCAAATTATATCAAAAATTTGAAAATGGAAATATCAAACAGCTACAGAAGTTTTTTAGATTGGCAAAGTTATCTAAACTAGTCAGATAAACTAGTTGTTCCAAATGTTAAAAATATTAACATTACTAAATGTGCTGTACAGTAGTCGGTCCACGCATAATTGGTGCGATCTTCGTTTCTAAGCGAGACGAACTGAATGCCAACACACAATCAACGGACTCGAGATAATAGTAAAAAACAAACGCTGCTGAAATACGAGCAGTAATACAATAACATTAATAAACTGTTCGAGCGAAATTCTAAAGCGATATCGGTCAGGTGGCATTATGATGTTTATTGGTATACTGGTTCAACTTGCGCTTAAAAGCCTCGACGAAGGTGGACATGACGACATCTGCGGGCAGGACATTCCAAGCCTCGACCATTCTGTTTGAAAAGAAGAAAATCCGCACATCCAGCCTAGCGCCAGTCACGCGTAGTTTAAATGTGGTTGCTAGCTCAAAGAAACCAGGAGGTAAGTGACAGCAGTCCTGGTCGCATATTATACGGAATGTTTGTACAAGGTCGCCTCTTAGTTGTCTGTAACTCAGTGGAAAAAAGCTGAGATTGGATAGCCATGTTTCGCAGGACACTGAACACTGTCCACTAACGAGGTCTGTTGCCCGTCTTTTAACTTTCTCAAGGATGCTGAGATCTTTAGAGGTCCAGGGTTTCCACGCCTGGATAGCGAACTCTAACTGTGGACGTACGAAAGTCAGAAAGACTTTAAAGAAGCAGTCCTCATCGAAGGCAGAGAAAGCTCACTTGACAAGATAATGGACTGACACTGCGGATTTGGCAACCTTGGAGCAGTGGAGCGACGGTTTAAGAGAAGCCGTTACCCACACACCCAAGTCTTTCTGGGCGTCTACCTCCTGCAGTGGTACGCCGTTTAGGTGATAAACCCTCCGGCTCAGACAGTGGGTTTTGCTGACTTGCAAAACCAAGCACTTAGTCATATACAACGGCAAAACCCAGTCCTGTGACCATTTCTCGAGTCGGGTCAGGTCTGCTTGTAAGCGCTCGTCATCAAATTCAGTTCGGATGACGCTCCAAAGTTTAACATCATCAGCGAACATGGAAATATCACAATTCAGTGCACTGACGCAGTCGTTGACGTATATAACAACTAGGGGAGTGCCAAGTATGCAGCCTTGAGGAACACCGCTTTCAACCGCTACCTCCGCCGACTGCCTGTCACCGACGTGGACGAGTTGAGAGCGACCGATCAAGAAGCTTTGGATCCACCTGATGAGATTACCTCTAACGCCTGTTCAACTTTATTTGTACAGAAGACGCTGGTATGGCACACTGTCGAATGCTTTCTTAATTTCGACGTAAACTGCGTGCACTGCATTGTCGCCATCAACTGCCCGGGTCCAGCGTTATAAACAATATAGTAGATTCGTCACGCAAGATCTGCCTCTATGAAATCCGTGCTGGGCATCGCATAGCAGATTATGCTCTTCTAGGAAGCGCATGATTTCTCGCTTAGTTATTGCAGCAGACTGAATTAAAGCTGGTTGGTCTGTAGTTGTTTCCTAAGACCTTGCTGCCGCCTTTATGAAGTGGCGTGATCCGTGCATATCTCCAATCGGCAAGCAAATGGCCTGCCTTGAACGAAGCTTGGAAGAGCATGGACAGCGGTTTAAATAGTTTTCCAACGAGCTCCTTCAACCATTTTGACGGGATGTCATCCGGCTCAGGTGATTTAGACTAATTCAGCATCAATAGTTATTTGCAAACAATAGCTTCGGCGAAAGAGACGACTTCAATCGTTGGCCCGTCCGCTATGTCGCAGTCGGGGGAATAACTGCGTTTTCCTTCGTAATGATGGACTTAAAAAATTGCGAAATGTGCCCTGCCTTTTCTAAGTCTTTACTGAGCTCTAGGTCTTCACTAGCTTTCGATAATGAAATTGGGTCTCTGTTTCGCGTGCTCCTTCTTATATAACCATCGAATAACTTCAGATTTTCTGGGGCCAGATTTAGTAGGTCTTTCTCGAAAGTACGCCGCGCCCCGAGGATTAGTTTCTTAATTAGGTTCCTTTGTGCCTTGTATGCATTTATCGACAGAGAACTCCTATTTGAAAAGAATTTCCTCCATAACCTCCACTTTTTATTCACTTTTTTAAAGTTTATGTTAGCCACGGGGGGGTCTGCTGTTCAGTTTCTTCCTTGAAATAGGACAGTGGTCTCTGAGAAGAACGTGCAGTAATTCATTTAACCAGTCCCAATCCTTGATTATATCAGCGGAAAAAGCTGATTCCCAGTTTATGGTGTTTATTTCAGCTTTCATTTGGGCAAAGTCACCGCGCCAAATGTTCCTTCTAGCCCTGGTGGCTTGTTCGGGCAGAGAAAAAAATGGAGTACTCCCACAACAACACGACGTGGTCGCCTTGACCTAGGGGAGGTAGACATTGTACCTCATCAGTGGTGTCGAACGACTTCGTAAGGACCAGACCCCGACAGTCTGACTGTTGCTCTTCGCGCACCCTACTCCGTAAAGAGACGTGCTGGGTGAGAAATAACTTGAGGGTCATGTCCAGCAAACGTCGGTCGGAAGCATGGTCTGGACCAGATGCATAAGCTGAACTCCAGTCGATATGATGTGCGTTGAAGTCCCTCACGATTAAGACGTCGGACCGGGAAGAGAATCTCTTTAGGTCCTCAATCAGACGGGCGTCCGCCGTGGGATCATTTCTCGGCGGTCGGTAGACCATCCGGACGTCAAGGCTCGGTGAACCCGGTGCCTTTATAGTTAGCCAAATTGCCTCAGAAGTACACGAAAGTTTATCTGTTTTGTCTGAGACTATAAGCCCGTGTTTTACATACGTGAGTACGCCTCCGCCTTGACGTCCTGACCTGTCTCTTCTAAACATCTGGTATCCCGGTATCACGGTTGTCAACCTTCTGGTTCAGCCAAGTTTCTGTAATTGAGATTATATCCGGGGATATCAGATAGATGGATCTTTAGCTCGTCAACTTTCGATAACATGCTCTGCACATTTGTATATAGAAAGTTCAGTTTGCGATTTATGGCTGTCAGAGAAGTAATTTCGATGCGTCTAGGACTTTCGCCTACTATTCCGGTTGCACGGTCATCCAGATCGGGCCCGCCCAAAGAAAGAATGTTGGGCGCCGTCTGATTTGGTTGTTGTAGATAACCAGATTTCGTTCTCCTTCGCTGAGTCCCTTCCTCAGCTCTAGAACTAGAAGACGGCGTTTCAGACTCTCTGCTGGCGAGTAATCCGGTTGAAAAAAAAACGCCGGGGTTGGTGCCTTTTATTCTAAAGCGCCGGGATAGAATCAACCCAGCTTGCTCCTTACAAGCTTTGAGAGGTCGGAGGCGTGCTGGTGTTGGTAGATTGTTTGTCCGGCTGCGCATTTTTGTTCGATCGGCAACCCACGTGATGCGTTTGATTGTGACCGAAGGATGTTGATTGGAATCCCCAATCGGCCAGAACTGAGATCTGGCATGATTGGTTGGTGTAGACTCATGAGTTAGAAGTGGCCATCGTAGTCTTTCTTTATGTGTCGGTGCTCTTCTCTGTTTACAAATGACATTCAAACACCTTATTTTTATCTACAGGTAATTTGCCACAGACTTATTCGACGTTCACCAATGTTGAGCAGTCACTTTGACGAGGTCTTTTTCAACCCATCTGTCAGCTGTCATTGCTGGCATGCAGCATATTTACATCTGTAACTGACTTTGACTCTAAAACGCAATTTTCACCTGGTGTGCATAGGCAGAGTATCGTTCGGTGGTCTAACCGCGTACAGGCTCAAAAGATTGGGCGGGTAGCAGTGTATGTGTGCACGCAGCTGTACAGCAAAGTCTGCGTTGATCATTCTGCAAATATTTCCATGCATTATTTGAAAAGTCAAGTTGTCAAACCTACTTTCTCGGTATTTCATCATCAGACCCATTTAGTTACACATAAATTAAAAGTATAGACGGTTACGGAGTTCATAATTGCCTCAGGGGTCATTAACACTTGTCTTTCTACGCCACCCACATGGCGAGGTCGGCGGGTCATGGTCATTGAGGCAAAAAGGGCGACAGACTGTGAGTGATGCCAGTGAGCCGGATATGTGGAGTGTGTTTACAGCCAATGTGTCCCGCTCCACAGCGAATTAGTTAATACACGTCGATGTTGCCTGCGATGGTAGTCGGTGCTAGCCTTCTCATTTTAAAGAAACGGAAAAAATACCCATTGGTTAATTCAAAAATGACAGCTGTGTTGATTTCACATCTTTAGGTTGTTGTTGATTGTTTGGATAGTAATTTTTCGGGGTTTGTAAACTAACTGACGTCTTCTTCCTATATGCCGGCAGAATAGAGTTGACTATGCTGACAGAACATGAAGTTCAAATTTCTCTCAATGGACGCAGAGCGCTCAGAATGGGGGTAATGTGCTGGACGGAACCATCCGCTGTAGTGTGTAGAAGAGCACAAGAGCAGGTCCACCGGCTGCCATTATATCCAATCGTAAATTTAACCTTGGCAATTTGACCTTTTTACAGTGAGAGGTCATTGTTCCCTAAACATCAAACCACTACGTATCGCAAGCATGGCATATTTTTATACTTCGTATAGTAGGATTCATTTCGGCATCTCCAACCCAGCCATTTTATCGCAAAATGGCAAACATATCCATTAAATATAGGCCTAATTTACTGCATATGGCTACATCATCGACCTGTCTGCGGTGTGCGGAAACGCTCATGACATCTTTAATTTAGCGCCCACTAGAATCTTTTACTCAAATGGCCGTTATGTACCGAAAGATAAAAACGATCACTGTCAGCCATGCGAAGAAAAAATGATCCCAATAGTAGTGTTCATCTATTTGCTTTCTGACTCTGCATGTTTTATTCATTTGTACGTACTTTGCCTGTGGAAAATACCAGACGCTCACTGGCGGGCGGTAATTAACCCACAAAATAACTCTCCCGCGAACTCTGGGGGTTTTACCGTGTGAGTTGTAGACAGTGAAGTCAAATGGCGAGACAGCACTACACACCTCAAAGATGTCGATCTTTATAAAAACCAATCAGTATTTCCCCAAGATTTGGTGTAAAAGTTCGCAGGTATCCGTTTGCTTCACACAACAATCCTGTACTTCCAAAAGATGTATCGAAAACTGGTACTTGCTGCAGTGCACCTGATGGCTTTGGGCACCCTTTCCTGTATACCGACCACAGGTTTGCTGTTATTTGAAATACATTAAATGCTACTTTCAGGCATCATCAGTACTGATTCTGACATATGCATAGTTCCGACAAAAATCTCGTCGCCGCTTAATGCTGAAGATCTCTTATCCAAAGTGATAAATAACGATCATCCATTTCCTGCCGGACGGGCATTGAACTGTACGGCCAAAATAACTAAATTGAATTTCGGCAAAGGAAGCACCTGCAGGACAGAGATCAGTCAAATATCCTTCAGTGCACTAACATGTTATTTGGATGTAAAGTTAATTTCGGGTTCCTTTAAATGCGAGGTAAATTTAAACGCATCTTTGCCTCTCCCAAGAGAACCTTATTTATGCATTACGCAACTGAGTTTCAAGCTGAATCTTCATGCACATTGATATCAGAGTTTTGAGTTACCGTCAGAAGACTAAGCCTATTACTTATCCTTAAGTAACATCCTTAGATGCAATTTTGCCAGAAAATTGCGTTGTTACGTTTGACGGCGCCACATTTTAAGGCCGTCATAACGTCCTGTCGCTTGTTAGTGTACTCTAATGTTTGATTGCAATATTCTGACTGCCTTACCAAATAGTTAATCCTTGAATGTTTCCATCGACCATATTTGATTAACGAGCATAATGATATGTTAGCTGAAGTCGAGCAGATATTACCTGACATTCAAAAGCTGTAAACACGGAGCTTTTGGAATAGATGCTGTGCAGTGCTCATTTGCTCTACTACAATGAACGGATGCATTTCAAACTGTAAATACTCTAGACGTTTCTTTCAGCGGCGGTGGTTAATTGGGCCTCATTTAACTCGACATCTGACAGCTGTCTCTAGTCCCTTGAAAAAGCTTCATGGGTACCCATTTCTCTTGACATACTTATGATTTGTTATAAACTAAATGGATGCCACCTAGAACTGAAGGACCGATATAAGTATCATTATTTAGCTTCATGGTAAAGTATGCAGTTGTTCTCCTATCTGAAAGAGGGATTTTCAGTTTGTCAACTAAAATGTGTCATTGATTATTTTACGGTATACTAGGATAACGGAAAACTCGTCACGGGTGGTGACCCCACTGAACGAAATCTAACCGCCATTGTGAAACTGGAACGTGACAAAACCAATCTGCTCACTCTCAAGAACGCGACACTGGGTTGGTTGATTCAAGGACACAACGGTACACAAGGCTCCAAAGAAAATTCGGAAGGCCTGTTTGAGAAAAATAGGCCCTTTTCCTATATATTTTCCAAATTGGTCCTGTTTCAGTGCCAGCTTCTTACAGTCAGAGGTAGTCAATCCTGTTACTTTTGCAATGCTTGCACCTTCCGTGTATACATCCTTGAGAGTGACGTATGGCATTTCTAGGGAAGGGTCTTTAGAGGTGCATATAACTTTGATTTTTTGATGCGCTTACATGTACTAGATCCATACTTGTGGCTATTGTTATTACCTAGCTGTTTTGACTAATTATACATTCATTAGAATTGAATAAAAGGCTACATAGCAGGTGCACAATCATGTTTGTGTTTTCGCAGGATACACCACTCCAGGTTGCTTCCCCGGATTTAACTGGTCTTTAATTTTCATGAATCTGCTGCTTATGGTGGCCTTGGGACGGTGTGCCATTCCAACATCCAGTCCTGTAGCAATGTGCTCTGTTGCTTCTGAAACGTCCTTGATGTATGGCAAAGAATGCCATATCGTTGGTGGTGCCATTGGTTGCGTCCTCTGAGGGCGACCGCGTAGACAAGGACTTATTGATGCCTTCCGATAGCAATTTTTGCATGCTGGTCTCAGAGATAACGGGACTTTCGTGCTCGGTCCTCCGGCTTGTTGCAATGCGCTTGGATCCGTTTGATGAACGTCTTTACACAGCTTCGTTTGCGAGTCATCGGATGGTTTCCGTGAAAATCTAGAAGTTGTGTGGTGTTCGTAGTCTTCCTATAAACCGTCGTTTAAAGTTTACCGTCAAGGTTTCGTCTGATAAGCACGTCCAGGAAGGGCAACTGCTGTTCCTGTTCGTCTTCCTTCGTGAATTCTATATCAAGGAAAACTGTGTTGAGCAGGTTGTGGGAATGTTGTAGGATGTCCTTCTTTGCGATAAGAAACGTATCGTCTACGTAACGGTGCCAAAATACCGGCTCTTGTTGGATGAAGGCAGTCTTTTCTAACTCCTGTGGAATCAGTCCTGCCACTAAACCGCAGACCGCTTGTTCTAATATTGCTGTCATCTCTAAAGATGGACGCCTACACGGGTTCGAAAGTTTAGACCAATAAACAGAAATTTTCGGCGCTCGACCACCCTTCTACTTCACTTATACATACACCTGGAACTCGAACTGTCGCCTTCATTCAGGAATGCCTACGTTAAACTTATTTAGTACACAAGGTGAAAAGGCTGTGAAACTCACGACAAAAATTTAATCTCAATGCATTTATTTAGGTTTAAAAATGCTTGAAAATGAATGTATATTATAAAAAGCAAACATCAGTCCGGCTCTCGTTGTACGAAACAATTATGCTGCCTGCCCGAATGCCAATTTCGCACTGTTGTCTAAGTGACTTCAACTATTCTGAAATATTTGATCTTAAATTTGTTTTATTTCTAGAGGCCAAAATTGCGGAAGCACAAAAAGGCCTGTATGCACGAAGACAAACAAAATAAGAAACAACTTTCCCAACACCAACAACCACAAGTTTTCCGAGATTTTTCTTATATAAAATACTGGAAATCTATTTTCAAGCCTGCCGAAAAGTTGTTTGGCACGTTTCGTTTACTTTTTCGCAAATATAGCACCCATTTCGCCCCTTGTTGTTCCAGACAGTTGTGATTCGCAGTTACTGCGATAATCAAAAAACGAACGCTAGCCAATTACTTTCAGTTCCATCTTCCTTAAAAAAGATATTAAATTGGCTGTGCTGTGGCTTCTTTACCGTTAGGGTAACAGCTATCGCATAAATAAATGGAACCGTATTATAATATTTTAAAGATAGTGAATCATAGTAAAAAAGACCCCAAATTGTTTTTTTAAAGTCTTGACCATCACGCAATTAGAAAGATAGACTCATTAACTCCTAACTTGCCACAATATCAAATAGTTCTTAGGTCAAAGGAAAGTTACGATATATCTCGGGTTTCGCGAAAACTGTGCAAATTCAGCTTATCTCCCCAGTGTCCGCAGTCTCACACGGAAGGGCAAACAGCCTCCAGTCTCAAATTCGTGTTGAATGTTTTATTGCATTTATGGGTCCTGGAGCATCCTCAGGAGGGCATCAGTCAGAATATGTAGCATCGCTCAGAAGCATGGTATAATAACGATAAAAGTATTCTCAACAGGAAACCGATTTTAGAGACTCGTGCTTTAAACGCAAACGACGGTGCTCCGCCGCGAAGTCCCACATGAATACTTTCCATTCACTATAATGATATGCAAAACGAGTTACTCAACGTATTAATTAGTATGGATCTGAGATAAACTTCAATGATAGACGGTCTCATAAATGCAAGTAAGTAACCTGGAAAAAGTCCGTATGAAGATTATTATCCGCGTAGTGATGTCTGAAATCACAACTGCCCTGTGGGTTGATACCTGACAATTTTTTTTACTCCGTCAACCCTAATATCAACCACTTTCACAAAACGACATGAATGAACGCACATATCAAATCGACAGGTGAAAGAGAAGGTTAGTGGGAAAAATATGACCGGTAACAGTTTATTCCAATGACGGATTTCAGGTTCGTCAAAACTACCGAAGGCCGATGCTATAACGGAGAATACACACTGGTGTTTTGCATGTGGGTTTGACTATGGCCGGGCGGAGTTCCGCAAATGCTCTCTTTCACTATTGGACCGACTTCAATGGCAGGGCACAGCAAACATGGCTGCGAATGCGTGTGGACGCAATAACTGAAACATTCCCACCCACTCTCACCCACGTACATGTTTATGTATTCCACACAACCATGAACGACTAGCATCACATGAACTAGTCACAAATGGGGATGCCTCATGTCTCAAACAAACGAGTGCATTCAGAGCCAAAACTACATCTGTTCAATCCTTTATCCAAATTTGATTGATTTATTACCCCAGTTGGCGCTCTATAGAGCCACATTGTATTTCAAGGGTATATTAGCCTCTTCCACATTGAACAAATTGGACCCGCTAGAATTAAGCAGGATGCGCTCCAGGTCGCAGCTTGGAAGGCAGACAATCAACAAAATGACTTGTTCCTGGTTGAAGTGAGTTTTACGGATCCTCCGGCAGTGTTCCTTGCGAAAATTTATCAGGGTACCCGATTTCGCAAAGCAACTCTGGCATCTTTCTAATCTGCTACTCCACCTGTTGAACAACTTTTTTAGCTCTTTGAGGTAAAAACGGGACTAGATTTCGTTTTTTATGGAAGGGTAAAAAACTAGCCAAGTTCATGTACTTTTCAGATCAGGATTTCGTCCTTAGGCACTGCTCTGACGCTACGGTCAGGTCTCTTGCTTTAAAGAACATCAAAAAATGCGTCAAACCGGCCATTGCGATCTCCGACATGGATCTGATCGACGGCTGTGCCAAATTTACAGCACCTAAGACGGCAGCTACATCGATTACTGAAATTACTCGTCGCAACTTGAAATACGCGTCGGCTAAATTTTTCATGTGAAATTGAGAGGCACTTCTCATCAGCTGTGAATGAATTCGGCTTACGCTCGATCGGTCGTAGTTTGTGCGCGTTAGAGAGAGAGAGGACTGCTTTATTTTGAAAATAACTTTCAAAACTTTCAGCAAAAACGGTTCTCCAGTACAAAGTGATTACCATAGAGATTAACAGGTATTGGACAGGTGGACATAATTATATATGAAGAAAAAAGGACTTTAAGGTGCAAGATCGAGTTTTAGTTTTTGTTTTTCAACATCTTTGCAGGTGAGATACCGGGCTAGAAATGGCAGTATGGAATTCCGATAGGCCGAAGTGCGGCAAGGGATGTGGCGGAAGCGTCGACGCATGGGGCGTAAGGATTTCGCAGCCATTAATTCATTATGAAGGGGATGGACGGTGTCATTCAGAATTCGGTCAGCGAATTGCTCCACCAAGTTAAAGTGTCGCTGCACGATGATATCAACTAAAATATGGTAGGAAACACCAGCAGCAGCGGCGAGCATTCGAATGACACGTTTAAAAATAATTAGAGCTTTTTTAAGTAAAGCTGCAAAAATAACTGGAGAACAATAAAGAATGAGTGGAAGAGTACAACCATCTATGAATCATCAGATTAAGGACTGGGGTGTATGATATAAACGTAGACGACGAATGTAATAAACAAGTTTTTGAATTTTTGTTAAAAGGGTTTCCATATGAAGAGAGAAAGAGAGATTTGAGGACAAAGTAACACTTAGGTATCGGAAAGAGGATACCTCATTGGGAAGAATATCCAAAGGATCAGGAATGGGAGAGGATCGCAATCGAAACACACACTGTACTGATTTCTGATTGTTGAGTAGGAGTCCATTATTCGACGTACATTCCGTCTGACTCATTTCATGGTTTCAGTGGAAAGAATGATCGAAAGACGGACCATGATCTATCCCGGTATCATTGGCAGTGGCATTTGCTCAGCCAGTTTGTGCCCAGTCGCACAGAGGTACACGATCGAAATGCAAGCCTGCTCATCAAGCTGGCCGGTGTTAAAAGGAAGACTATGGAATGGCTGTAAGTGGAAGCGTGCAAACGGCCGCATACCAACAGCAGTCACGCCGTCAGTGTTGGGGGGGGGCAAACCGACTGCCCTGTGAAACATTGCATATCACGATGACAACATATTTACCCGGCGTCTGCAAGCCGTCATTTAGCAGATTATCGCCTACTGCTGTTTACCCTAGGTTCAGGCTTTCAGCGTTAGAGCAGGTAAGTATTAAAAGCTTCTAGTGACTCCCGAAATAAACTTACATTACCGTAAAGAGCGCGAGCTGCAGACAAATTGATATGGGCAAATTCATATGAGTGATTCTAATCGAAATATTCTGCACTATCAGTGAGTTTAATCGACTGAAAAGTGTCTATCCACAATTGACATTTAATTCTTTTCGAAAAAACAAGGTTATTGTTCCGTTAATTGAGAGTACAGTCAGCCGCAAATCGACGGAAAACGCCGAAAGCAGCCATTTAGCAGATTCTCGTTCACCGCTGTTTCTTCTAAGTTCAGGTTTTCAGCGTAGGAGTAGGTAAGTATCAAAAGTTTCGAATGACTCCCGTAATAAGTTTAGGTCACAGCAATGAACACAGAGTGAAGATAAATTAGTATCGGTAAATTCAAATGAGTGATTCTAATCGAGACATTGTGCATAGACAGTGAGTCGAATCGACTGAAAAATGCCTTTTCGCAATTAACACTTGTTCCTTCTTGAAAAAGCAAAGTAATTGTTTTCTTAGTTTACAGGACAGGCAGTCGAAAATCGACGGGAGGCACTGTACCGTCAAATCATTCATTGATAATTCAAAAGATTTTAGCTTATCGAAGAAGTTCGAAATAGCCTGGGAGCATATCGCAAGTTTACCAAAGAAAGTTTTTCGAAGTGCACGAATATGGCATACCAACGAATATATTTTTAGTTTCGGTTAGGTTTAGCGTTGCCGTTAGAGTTAACGGAAAACGTTTAAGGTTAAGGTCGGGGTTAGGATTAAGGTTAGGATTAGGGTTAAGGTCGGGCGATGAGTGTCTAGTCTGAGACATTTCTACGTGGATCTCGGATTAGGCGGCAATGGAGTTTGGCATATATTTTCAAATGTCTTGCCTAATAATTCCTCTGTAACTACTTAAGATTGTAGTTTGTTGCATCAAGGTTCTAAGTATTACTTGCCATTTATAATTAAAAAGTCAAATAGACTGTAGTAAAGGGCCTGGTTGCCAACTGTGATCTAGCCCAAAATCCAACAATAGTACGCATAAAATTCTATTTTAAATTGTGGTCCCCACCAGCACAAAGAGTCAAAAAACTGTCTTTTGTGACAGCAACTGAAGAATCGAAAATAGTGTCCGACAACAGTGTCGTGAAATCAAACGGACTCCTGACTGTTCGGGATGATATCGACCAATGTGAGGTCACGTGCTATGTGGAAGTAGTTCGACATAGCATGGGAGCATATCGCAAGTTTACTGAGGAAACTTTTTCGAAGTGCACGGATATGGCATACCAACGATTATATTTTTTTAGTTCGATGAAGGCGGCCAAATGAAGTCATTTTTACTGGGGTCAAACGCACAACGATGCTGTAAAAATTATGCTGTAAAACGATGAAAATTACCCACTTTTATGTACATTGCTAAACGTCAAGCGGTTTGCCGAATATCATATTAAACTGAAAGGGGACTAATTATTCAAATTCCCAGTTGGAGAAGTATGCAAGGAAATGTTGTACACCTGATGGGCTTTTGTTCAGTTATTTAGTCAATCGGTTAAATGGGCATGAACTTTGTTCTCCTAAAAATCATGCTTGCTTGACGCAGATCTCGCATGCTTGCCAATTCCGTTTGTCACCAAACTGTTGTCATTGCTACCCAGAGTGATATTGCTATCGGTGCTGTTGTTGTATTTACTTAACCAGTGGTCTTTAAATTTAACTAGGTGCTTCGCTGGAAAAATTGGACCGATTTTCAATCTAAGAGGGATGT